CATTACCCGCCACCACCCGCCATCCGCCACCCACCTGCCATCACCACCCACCACCCGCCACCACCCACTCGCTACCACCCACCACCACCACCCACCATCACCACTTTCCACCGCCGTCTTCCGCCGCCACTTGACACCACTTGTCATTTCTCACTTTTTTTTTTATATTTTTTAATTTTTTTAAACATTTTGTTAATTACCAAACGCGTTTGTAGTTTATGTTTTTCTAAAAATAAACAAAAAATAAACAAAAATCAGTTTATAAAATTTTTGTAAATATAAACTGAAAACGTAAATGTTACCAAACACACCAATGACGAGAACTCTTCTTTGAAATTTTATTGCAGTTAATCAAAACATTACTTTAACCTAAGGTTACATTCATCTATATAAAATAATTTTAAGTAGGAAATCTATACTATATTTTAGGGAAAATAGGATTTTTAATGAGAAGGGATGTGAGAGCTCCATATACTCAATTTCAATTTCTTATTTTTTCAATTTAAATCAAATATAGAAGATTTATATGCCTCACATAATTTGGGAATTAAAAAAGTAAATATAAAAATAAAAAAATCTTCAAACCCATCTTTTAAGATCATTGCCTAAAAGATGATCCTTTCTTAAAATCAAATATAGAAATACGGTTTGTTGACCTTCTAATTTATTTGCCCATCTTCTAAAATTTCTAATTAAAACCTTTCCTTCCTTAAAATGAATTAAACAAAATCAATTCAAATCTATTTAAATTGTTTTGTTTGGTTAATTTTGTTTCTCGATAATTAATTTGGATTTTTTCAATTTAAAAAAATAATAAACTATTCATGTGTCTCACCTAATTTTCAAAATTAAATAAATAAATAAATAAAAATCTTCAACCCAGCTTCTAAGATCATTGCTTAGAAAATGATCATTTCCTAAAATCAAATATAGAAACACAGTTTGTTAACATTTCAATTTATTTGTCCATTTTTTAAAATCTCCACCTAAAATCCTTCATTCCTTAAATTAAATTAAACAAAAATCAATTCAAATATGTTTAAATTGTTTTATTTTGTTGATTTTGTTTTCCTATAATTAATTTGGAAAACTGATTTGATTGTTTCCTATAATTAAATTGTTTTGGTTGATTTGGAGCTCAACATCCCATGCTAAATTTATGAATTTTTAAGTTTAAAAAATAATCTAAAAATAATTTTTTTTTTCATAATTTATCATTTTTTTTGTATAATGATTCCATGATTTAAGATTTAGAAAAGAAGATGAAGAAGATCATTCTTGTGCACTCTTTCTCTAACCACTTCTTTCTCATACCCAAAAGCCCTAATCGTCATACATTACACATTCTTCAAGTCATTCATGCCCTCCTGATCCTATAAATATTACATTTATGCAATGATACAACTCATTATTTTTTTTCTATCTTTATGAGACAATTGGAGGTTAGTTTATATTCTGCATTCTTTAAAGAAACTCTTTCATCCTTTAACTACACCATTTTTTCTTTCTTTACTTTTGACCATTTTTTGTTTTTTGCATTTCATATTCTGTATATCATTTCTCCCTTTACTCTCTACTGAGCATTATTATTATTATTATTATAACCATTTTTTGTTGGAAAATATTATTTCACTATAATTTTTGTGCACACTTTTATCCCAAAATGACGTGATAGTGTTATTTGTATAATAAAAAACATGTCAATAGACTTTTTATTGTAAAGTGATAGATCAAAATCCAACCAAACTATTGTTAATATTTTTTTTTTTTGTATTGACTTTATGCATGTATATCACTACTTTTTTTCTTTTTTTTGAAATATTTTGTGAATCATGATGTGTTAATTAACAATTGATGTAGAACATTGCTTCAAAAGTTCCTAATTGTTTTTATTTTCCTAAGGAAGTTACGATCATAATTACAACACTATAAAAGAAAGGCTAAACTACCAATTGGTCTTAATAGTTGAACTTAATTCTCATCAAATCCTATTGAAAATTAGTCATAATAAAATTGAGGTTAAAATAATTTTTTGTGACGATTTTTTGCACATCGCTAAAAATTAATAATTAGTGATTTTTCTTGTCATGGTTTTTATAAATTGTCGCTAAAACTTACAATTGGTGACGTTTTTCTATGACGAATTTTTCAAAGTATAGCTGAAAGTTAAAAATTAGTGATGTTTTTTGTGACAATATTTTTCAACTGTCGCTAAAATTTATAATTAGTGACATTTTTTGTGATAAAATTTTCAAACTATTACTGAAAATTAATCATGAACTCATTTGCATAGACACAATTTAGATTGAATTTGTATCTAAACACTCATAGTCTCACTGAAATAAAAGAGCAAATAAGATGAAATTACAGCTGAAAGGAGTTTTGTCAAACGGGATTGCCAATTACAAAAACCGAACTGTATCACTCTAATGTAATACTCCAATGTAACACTATAAAATCACACTAACATAAATATAGATTTCTATGCTCGACAACTAACACTTCAGCCACTACTTCCAAAAAAAAAAAAAAAAAAAAAAATCTTTCACACCTCACATTTCCATTCTCATCTCAAAAACAAATCAAAAAATTGAAAAAATGAATTACAAAAGGGTATTCTTAAACTCAAATGACATCAAATCAAATAAATATAAATTTCTAAAACAAAAAGAATTAATTAGTTCGTAAGAAAACTCTTAGGAACAAATGGATCAACATTTTCCCATATAGAATTTATGGGTAAATTTCCGTAAGTATAAAATTTTAAAGATTTCATTTCAATTTTTTTTGCCACATCGCCTTAAAAATAAAGAGAGATAGAAGAGGAGTGGGTAAGAGGAAGAGAGAGGAAAAAAAAAAAAAAAAAAAAAAAAAACATATACAAGTACATCTTTGGCTTTGTACGTTTGTAAAAATATTTATTTTTAATTAGAATAATGCAAAAATTAGTTAAATAATTTAATTTGTTAAGATCCAACTTACAATTCACATTTAATGCAAAAAGTAAAATATAAGCCAAAATCGAATGTCATTATATTAAATAATTTACAAATCATAACTTAATTTTAAAATTATACTAATGAATCTAATTTTACTTTTGTATTATAAGAAAGGGTAAATTACACTGACACCCCTTAAGGTTTATATTTATTACAGTTTCCTTTCACCTTTTGGAAATTGCATCTCCCTCCCTAAGGTTTAAAGTTTCATTACAGATTTCCTGCCTCAACAATTTAATTTTTTTAAATACCAATTTTTCTCTCACTAGGTAAATTACATTGACACCCCTCATATTTTAGAAATTACAATCTCCTTCCTAAGGTTTAAAGTAGCATTACTAATTGCCCCCTCGGTTAGTATTAGTTGGAAAAAAAATTCATTGAAAAAAAAAATTAATTGAAAATAAAATTTGTTAGTAAAATTTTTAAATTTCTATTTAAAAACCAACGTAAACTCATTTTTTGAATTTACGTTTTTTCCTCAAATTTACAAATTGAGACAACCACTTATAAATCAAAAAAATTATCAAACAAGTTTTTATGACAATTTTTAAAATTTTTGTAAATATAAATTGAAAACTGAAAACGAAATGGTTACCAAACAGACATTAGATGGTAAAAATGTCGTAAAATTAACAAATCATTAAATAAGTTATCAACGTAAGAAATGACTTATCAAAAGATTCTTAGGCTATGTATAGTTTGATTTTTAGAATTTTTTTTAAAAAAAATTAAATATTAATTTTGTTAAGAAATAAAAAATAAAAAATAATTATCATTTTTATATAATTTTTATCTTTCGAGTGACTAGAAATAATTTTTTACAAATTAAATTGAAACAGCCATACATATGTATATAAGATCATCTTCAATGGTTTGCTATTGGAGCTGCCATTGCTATAATATAGCAGCTATGTTCAAAAATAATGCTCCAATGGTTGAATATAGCAGCTGCCATTTGTGCCAACTCAGCCTAAAATAACTGTTTCCCTCCCTCCCTCCCTCCCTTCCAG